CAGCCGGAAGCCGCCTTGTGCTGGTGCTTGCGGACGAGAGCACGGAGTTCATCGGTCTTGGAACCCTGGGGAACAGGGACACCACGAGCATCAATGTAGGCCTTGAGACGGCTTTCGGACCAGGCATCGACGGCAGTGTTGAAGGCGTCGGAAACAGCGTTGGAGGCAGCGTCAGTGGCCTTGGAAGCAGCAGAGCCAACGTTGGAAGTGGCAGCACCGAAGGCGCTAGCAGCCGCGCCAGAGACATTGTTTTGAAGGAAGTCGGCGCGGTGCTTGCGAATTAGAGCCTTGAGCTCGTTGGACTTGGTGCCCTGGGGAACTGTCTAGTGTTAGTGGTGGTCATCATCGTGTGTCAGAATTTCTTACCAAGAATGCCGTTCTTGTCAGCAAACTCCTTGAGCTGAGAGTCGCTCCAAGCGTCGATGACCATATCAGTCAGGGTAGCATATGCCCGCTGGGCGCTGGCGGAAGCGCTGGCGGCCTGCTCTTGAGCCTTAAGAGAGGCAAGTCGAGAGTTGCGGCGAACAGAGGCAATCAGCTTGTCACGCTACCGGGTTATTAGCTTATGCATTAACCAAATGATGAACGTTGTGGGCTTACGCTAGTGATCTGGGGAGCAGGGAAACCGTGAGTGTCGAGCCACTCCTTGAGATCGGATTCTGCATATTTGTTAAATTAAGATGTATAAAAAACAAGATGAGGTTAGTTGCAAACATACCGGACCAAGTCTCGTACAACCAGTTGCCAGGGTATGCGGCAGTCTCGCCTGCCTTCTGGGCAATGGTCTCGTAGTTGGCGCGAGCCTTCTGGAGAAGGCTGTCACGGTTGCGGGGCTGAGGAACTACGATGATGTCAGTCGTACGTCTTGTGCTACGGGGTGCCGTCTCGCGTGTGTAGACATACCAGGAATGCCGTGTTTGTCAGCGAAAGCCTTGAGCTGACTGTCGGTCCAGCTGTCCAGAATCCAGTCCTTGACGTTGAGGTAGGCGTTCTGAGCCTGGTCACCAGACTCATACCAAGCATTCTGGACCTGGGCAACGAGGGACTCCTTGTTGGCCTTGGCGGCGCCCTCGGTCTGAAGACCTTTCGCCTTTAGGTAGTTCTGGAGGCGGTCGGTATCCCACGAGTTGTAGGGGGTAACAACGTAGTTGTTCCAGTTGCTCTCAATGAGCTTCTCGAGGTCCTTGCGGTCGGCGGGGGTAGGGTAGGGGATATCATGGTCGGAGAGCCAGCGTTCAAGCTCCGTCTCGTGCCATTTGTTGTAGGCTGCGAGGCGCGTTGGTCAGCTTGCAGAACATACGCTAACAAAATCCAGGTTCAGATATAACTTACCAGCCTTGGAGAACCAAGAACTCGCGATAACACCCTGGGCGGCCAAAGCCGTCAAGACGGTGGGGAGGAAACGCATTATGGTGGGTTTTGCAGATCAGTCTTCCAATGTAGTGTAGAGCCAGATATCTGGGGGTATCACGAAAAAGAAAAAAAGGCTGGAAGGAACTGGGAAGAAAACCACCAGATTGTAGTGATGGAGGAAGAAGCAGGAGAGTGAAGGTTTGGGAAGAGGTCGCCAAGGGTGTAGGTGGTTTTTGTTGTGTCGATGTGGGAGGCGGAACACGTAGAAGACGGCAGGCTGGTTGGTTGGTTGGTTGCAGGGGATGGACTGCAGGCAGGCGTAGTGTACCTAGGTTGACGACAGGGAGGGTCAAGCGTCAAGAGGCGAAGAGTAAGAGAGGTCCACGGATGATTCAGTTCACGTACGTCAGGAATCCATCACGTCACTGCAGCACGTTTGTGGGAAATTGTGGCTGCCTTTAGGTGCATCTGGTCGCTGCCGTGGCCTTTGGGTCCAATGGCTGATTTGTACGTACTTTGCCTCTCTGCTCAACTGCTCCTGCCTCATGTTGTTGCTGTCTGAGCTCCTCCCTGCCTACCTACCTACCTATCTAGGCAACTGCGTCTACGTCTGTGAAACTTAAAGTCGTCCATGCCTGGGGCCGTAGACGGTCACCCACCTGAAGGGGAAGAAGGAAGGAGGGCGCCTCCCTCTGTGTATGACGGGATCATACCTACTACTTGCAATTGCATCCGCCTATCAAGCTTCGACGTCTCTGTCCCCTTCTTGCTTCCACCTAGGTAGCTTACCTACCCAGGTAGGTACCCAGGTAGGGGGACTGTGGTCGGTGGCGCTAGCAAAGACATTAAGAAGAACGCAAGGCCTCAGGTACCTAGACAGACACAGAGGACTTGCTCCGCCCAAGACATGCCAGGACACCCGCTGCTGGGGTAAAAGCTTTCCGAAGTGTCACGTCAACCCTATGCAATGACAGTGACAGGGACAGGCCACATGCCATACATTAATGGCTGCTCTGCTTGAGAAAGCGACGCGAGAAGGGCATCAAAAATTGCAACAGGAGCCTCCCCGCGCAGCCATTCAGATAGCTCCGTGAAGCTCATCTCCTCTAAGCATGACGTAGCTACCCACCCTGGCTAGTGGGGTTTTCCTCTTAGTGCGCACCTGTGCAACGCGGTTGAGGGCGGCGGTACGTACTCGCGCGCCGGGCAACGTGCATAGCGCTGAACATTAAGGTTGCAGGTCAGTTTTGAGCCCAGGCGGTGAAACCGATTCTGGAGTGGGAAAGTTGGGGGAGACGGCATGCCATTCTATGCTATTTGGAACCATTGAATAATATCACTATCATTTGACTATTCGAAAACCCATATTGTTATTGATAGACAAAAGTGAGATGGAATCGCTCCAGAATCCATGGAGAAAGAGCTATTGCCGTCTCTTGTTTTTCCTGCCTGCCTCAACACTTCCAGAGATGTGCTCCTGCCCCAGTGCATGCGTCATTCCGACTGATAGCTAGCTCTTGGCGGGAAGTTGCAAGCTCATGCTCCTGCTCTCTTCCTTCCTGCCTCTCTGCCTGTCTCACCTCACTGAGCTCACCAACCAAACCCAGCAACGAGCGGTGGCGCGCCAGGACCAATTGCTCCGGTGATGTCATTCTGACCAAACTCCATATTCGAAAGAGAAGGCGGGGATCAGCCACTCTCCGCACCGCCACTGGTTGCACCTCATGACGGAGGGGGGATCGCGATCCTTGGCGGGCCTGGATGGGACGGATGGGGCCGTGGTGTGGGGTAAGCTCGTCCCTGCCAGTCGGCGGCCAGTGCTCACAGGCATGCTGCATTCGTCCTTCAGAACTCTTCACCGAGGGCTTCACCTCCATCCTCCTCCGGGCTGGCCTGGGGCCTAGACCGGTCCATTAGTCGTCATTGCCTGATCGCCTTTTAAACAGCAAGTCCACGTTGTCTTCTTTGAAAACACCGTTTGCCAGCATCGGCAATGGAGCCAATGGTGTGGTAAAAGGGGGGTTCGACCATCGGTTGCCCACCACTGCTCGTATCCAATACTTGGACGAGGTCCGAAATGCCCGTTGCTTTTCCTCTCCGTGAGAGTGTCAGAGACCGTGTAAGGGCCGTTGCGCCGGTAACGGCAACGTAGATTTTCGACCTTTCAGCCTGTAATAGTGGGTTTCTGACGCCCTGCTCTCGTCATGCCAGAGTGCAATGGTGCCTGCTTAGGTAATTAATCAGGCCTGCCTACGTGGAAGAATCTGTCCATGATCGAGCTCTGCAGAATCTTTAACGGCATGCGACAGCCTGTCTCTAGTAGAGGAGAGGTGGCTGCTGAGACATCTCACACCAGCTCCTTGTGATGCCAGGCAAGTCGACTGTGCGATTTTACAAGTCGATTCCCCCCCGAGTCCGAATAGTTTCCGGCCACAGCTGACGTGAAGTCTGAACCAGAGACTGCTCCGCGTTACCGGGTGTTGTGTATACTGCACTGAGATACCAAGATATAGAACAGACCAGAGATGCCACTTATCGGTTCGTACGCATGGTGATTTTGCTGTACTGAGTGAACTGAGCTAGGCCGTGAACGGAGGTTTAGGATGATGAGAACAACATAGAAGACAGCACTGCTGCTCCACGTGGGGACCCATCGTCGCTGAGCATAGACTTGCTTCTCGGGTTGACTCACACGGGTTCAGCTTCCCGCTGCCACTTTGCGGTTTGTGAAGTAACAGACGTCGACTGGTTTCAAAGCTTTCATTCTCCAAACATTGATCCCATACATACAAGCCATTACAAATCCATTTCCAGTCCTCGCACACTCCAAGCCTTTGCCATCCATCGACCAGTTTCCAAGCCTTTCCGATATACCCAAGTATTTCCCGTAAAAGTCGAAAGAGCACAGTTACATCTTCCGAGGCCATACCGTCTCATTAGATCACCTGGACATGAAGCCCATGTGGCCGAGTATACTCTCCGAACCCATGACCTTTTTGCGTTGAGGCTCTTAGTCCTGAACACCGGCGGGGGTGCTGCAGAGGATGCCCTGGTCCAGCTGTCGAGAGGTATTAGCAGTCTGTTCAGGAGAGTCTTGGTTTCCTCGCTTTCAACTTACGATGGGCAGGAGGCAGCAGCGGGCACGCTGTCCGATTTCGGAGCAGATGGCGCTGAAGTTGTCGCCCGTGGTGGGCACCTCGGACGGGTTGGCGCAGTCGAGGTCCGCGAGGCCGAGGATGTCAGTCGCGCAGCACTGCGCAGTCCCGTAGAGGCCGGAGCAGGGGATGTAGACGGTCTGGCGCTCCTCGACAACCGGGGCCGCGAAGGCGACGCTGGCGAAGAGGGCGGCGACGGTGATGGTGAACTGCATCTTTATGGTCGGTTGTGTTATTAAGTGGGAAAGAGGGGTTGTTTCGGTAACGATTGGATGGACGAGAGGCTGTTGGAGAGTCTGAGCTGGAGGTGAGGCTGGCTGGACTGTAATGGGTTGATGAGGAGGAGAGGGGATGAAGGTATTAGACAGGACTGAGATGGCTTCTTATATAGAAAATCCCAAACCGAGCAGACTGCTAGAGGAGAGACGGGAAGCCGTCTTGAACTTCGTCACAGGCTCCGTCTCTATGACGATATCTCTCAGAACCTCAATGCAACAAACTAGACGCGCTGGCGCCGCCTCACACTGGCCCACCCCCATCGCAACATCTTGGACAGGGTGGCACCGTGATAACGCCGGGTAGCTTTGGATGTGACCAGATATAGTCTACCCTCCTAATACTTGTGGGTGACGACGACGGCCTTGTAGATCTCATGTCAATTGGGGCCTGACAACTCGTGAAGCTCAGGGGCAGTGGTAGGTATGGTCAGCCCAAGCCGGAACTAGGAAGCCCTTCGCAAGTAACCTTACCGAACCATACCAGGACATGGGCTCAAAGAGACTGCTCGGGATCGGTACCTGAATCTTACATGGGGTTTCTGTGCTTGATCTGATTGCCACACACACAAACTCCCCAGCCTTTCAGGGCCGCTTAGCCGGGGCCTTGGCAGGCAAATAGTAGTCCTCCTCACATCATAGGCCAAAGTCCCTCGTCCACCGATATGGGATGCCCTCGCTGGTGGTCTTGTAAATTGACAAGAGCAAGCCACACGCAGCTCCCATGAAGAACACGTCTCTTGCAGGCCACCGGGCGGTTAGTCGTTGAACAGGGATGGAGGGGGAACAAACGACGTCGGGCATGATTCCCTTGACGAGGAGGGATCATCATCCTGTGCGACCTTGAGAGGGACCGCCTTGGATACCACGATACTTGCGTAGTACTTCAGTAGTCCACTTTGATCTTGGGATAATAGCCCTGGAAAGGCCGACATTGCCGGATGCAGGCACAAACCAGACTCTCGACAGAGCTGCCCCGTTGGATACGCACACAGCTTGTTCGTCGAGCTGAACAAATCATGATCCGATGCAAGGAAACGTTTGTGCAGGCATTTCTCTGCGCGCTTAAAGTATGGTATCTGAAAGCGTGCGGCACACCCGACTTCCACATGACAACCTGGGTCTCAAAAACAAGAAGAAACGAAACTCACCTGCTCCTCCATTAACCCCCAATTGTCTCTCGATGACAGGAAAGCATAAGCCGACTGTCAACAACATCAGCCGAACCGCTGTGCGACACGACGCGGGACCCCGTCTCCTCCCAACTGCTGCTCGGGCAGACCGCTCCAGGCCGAGGACGTCAGACATTGTGGGACGGCCACTGTCCCCCCGCCCTGGGATATCGCTACCGAATATCTGTATCCTGTGGGCAGCATGAAGAGCGGGCAGATTGCACTGACGACATCGGCAGAAGCCCCCGGGTCGACAGCAGCCTCTTGTTGCTAGACATGGCGGAGATGGCGGGGTGTGCGTGAGGCATTGAGGCGTCAAGCATGACCAGGGGCGCCGACTAGCGAGCCCACGCGCCCGTCTTTCCAGAACGTTGGCTGGAAAGACAAGATGCGCATGGCTGCAGTCCTTCATCGTGGCAGAGAATGACCGGACGGCCTGATCAACCCAGAAACGGACTCCCTGTCCTTGACGAAGGGGGGAAGAGGGGGGGAGGAGAGCGGGCGCATACGTCAGGTTCTGACCTTGTTCAGGCCCGTATCCGGCCAAGTCGAAGTTTTCGAATCGCAATCAAGGGAGCTTCAGAATCGCATTGTTCGGGCCTGACGGAACATGCTTATTGGACCGCACCATGCAGAAGAGGTCGACTTCGACCGGGGCTTAGCAAGCATGTCTTGTGGCGATCGGACGAGTTTATCAACGGTGTAATGTACGTGGAGAATACTTGTACACTAGAGCGGCATCCTGGCTCGCCTCGCCTCGCCTCGCCTTGCCTTGCCCTTGCATTCTGCACTCTTTGTCAATTGTCAATATGGCTCCTGCTCGCTTTTTGTTGTGGCAGTGGCAAACAGTACCGAAGGAGGTTGAGGGGACACTTTTGCCGCGTATCGATGCGCGTACCGTGGTGGGATGGGAACCTCCCAAGGGGTTTGCCGTACGGATCGTACGATAACCCCCCCTTTCGAGGTCGGCAACCAAGATGATATTCGAAAAACTGAAGCAAGGACGGGTCATGCAGGGGGTCCGTCATGGCAGACAGTAGGGGAAAAAAACACACACATAGGCAGAACCGGTTCTGGGAGGGTTATGTGATGCTGTACCAATGCATCTCTCCGTCACACGGGAAACCGGGGATGGTCGACGTCGCGGAAACAGGCTAGCAAACAGCCAAGCATTTAGAACCACGGAGAATGAGGGAACGGCCGCGAGATGTCGTTGGCCCGCGCCTACGGAAGGCAGGAGAGGGTGGCCTATATCTGCCGCCCCCCTGTAACTTAACTGCCGGGCACACACACACACACACACACACACACACACACACACACACACATACACACACACACACATACACACACGGTACAAGCAAGCGCCACCCCTGGGCCAGGTTTGCCATCCATGATTTCAAGATAGTCGTATGGAAGGTGGGAGGAAAAGGGGGGGAAAAAAGCGTCATTGGAGCGTAGGCTGGTTGGTTGTCACTTTGACCGTTGCAATCTGTACGACGCAAATGCCCAACGGCCGGCAGCTCGTGTCCAACGGTGAGACAATCTGTGGCTGAGTGGCTTAGGCGGCCGACGACAGATCGGCGGTCGCCAACGCTGCAAGCCGCCGCGCCGTTTATCTTCTTTACCCCGTACATGCTCCGTTGCCTCTCTCGGGTGGCCTGTCCTTGGTCCATCTTTTGCCGTTTTCGCGGCCGGGAAACGTGTCGGGCAGTCTAACAATAGACGGGCCGGCATGATGATCTCGCCTCGCGGAACTCCAAGCGTCGAAGGCTATGAAGGAAGCGATGAACGGCACCGCAGCAAGCTTTGCTGGGGAAGGGGATTTGGGGGTGCTGCATGAGACATGGCATGACGATCGCATCGGGCAATTACCCGGCAACAGAAGCCTGAACGCACGAGGCCCAGGACGGCAGATGGGGCCGGCCTGCGGGCTGGACTCGAGATCGAGGCTATCGATGTCTCAAGAACTTTAATGTTCTCGGAGCGGGACACGAACAGAACTTGGGGTGTGTGAGAGAGATTGACCGCCTTGGGCTACGCACACGCATCTTAGAGAAGGCAACTTGGGAAGACAGGACCTTGGGGAAGTAAGCTTGTCACTTTGCCGTCAGCCGCGGTGGCGTCATCGGCTGGCTCCCATCTGCCCCGGCTACGGTCCGCACGCTCGGTAACAATCGTCTCCCACTCCACCACCACCCACCCCTTCCCCCGGCTTTCATCAACATGACACCCGACAACTCAGAAATACTTTCCGAACAAGTCCAACCAGCCAGCCTATGTGGCCTGCACTATGCATTGTACTTTTCGTGTTCACAGTGCCCGCTGGGGCTTGTATTGTGCATTAGGACTTCCGCCCTCCCACGATGTCACCTCGGGCCTCTTTGCAGCAAACAATCGTCATCAGTTGACCATTCTTTTCGCGCAGCTCCCAATAGGCAAAACATTCCAACATACATCAGCCCCATGCCCCCTGAAAAGTAAGGGGGAAAAAAAGCCACAAACAAGCCGCTAGGACATGACTTCCATCTTGAGCCTTCCTTGTCGGCCTCGATCCTCGATCCTCGAAGCGACCCCCAAACGGGTAAGAGATCGGTCCCCAAATCGAGCAAGGGGCGGGAAAAAATCAAGGTCCGCGGTTCCAAAGTTCCTCGCTCGCCGACGTTGCAATCTGCGCCCTGCCAATCAGCGCTCGGCGATGGCCGGGACAGCAGGATAGGCTTAAGGGGGGGTATAAGAGGCCCATATCATGCCATTGGTTGTTCATCCGATATGGGAACCTTCGCGCTCCCGCGATAATCAACGGACGGGTGAGAACGAGCGCGGCCACTTGGGGAGTGCATTCGCGCAGCCACTACATGCCACTTGACATGGCTGGCCTCACCAGCATGCGCAATCGTTCTCAGCTCGACAGGGTCGAGAGTCTCTGTACCGAGATGCCGAGAGACGTGGCAAAGCCAGTTCCCGGTCGCGTCTGCACATCAGCCTAGACGCAGACGTCTCTCATTGTTGTCCTCACCGTCTTACCACTTGGCAGGAGGCCTCGCTGGCGCCTGAACACGCCGACTGACAACTCACCGTGAACATCATGCATCAAAAGTCGTTTGCTGGTCTTGCCAACACTGCTTTCCATTCCTATAGGGCCGCTTGAGTGTCCGTGGTACTCGTACAAAGTTGTTGTCTATCGCATTCGACTCCTCTATGCATTCCCATCCCCGCCAGAAGCAATAACCCCAGAAACCCAGCGGCATCACCCGACATTCGAATGGATCAAGCGTAAAAGTTGACAGTCTAGAGCGGGTCAGCATGCGTAGAACCAGAGGGAGGGCACCGACTAGACATACGTCCTTCTTCTTGGCCTGTACTTCGGCAATGGCATCCACGTAGTGCTCGTGGCTGATCTTGTTCTTGCCCATACGCAACGCAATCATACCAGCCTCCACGCATACGGCCTTGAGCATGGCACCGCCGAACTCGTCCGTACTGCGGGCCAACTCACCCCAGTTAACGGCGGTGTCGACCTTCATCTTGCGAGAGTGAATCTTGAGAATCTGGGCGCGAGCCTCCTCGTTCGGCAGGGGGAACTCGATCTTTCGGTCCAGACGACCTGAACGGAGCAGAGCGGGGTCCAAAACGTCGACACGGTTCGTGGCGGCCAACACCTTGATGCGGTCGTCTGACGCAAAACCGTCGAGCTGGTTGAGGAGCTCAAGCATGGTTCTCTGCACTTCTCTGTCACCGCTCTTCTCGCTGTCGAAACGCTTCGTACCGACGGCGTCCAACTCGTCGATGAAAATGATGGCGGGCGCCTTCTCCTTGGCGAGAGCGAAGCAATCGCGCACGAGCTTGGCACCGTCACCGATGAACATCTGTACCAGCTGGGGGCCCGCAAGCTTGAGGAACGTGGCATCGGTTTGCGCCGCGCAGGCTCGGGCCAGAAGCGTCTTTCCGGTTCCGGGGGGTCCGTACATCAGAGCACCTGTATATCGTCAGCCTTGTCCCTAGAGCCATCCCGTGAAGCAGAAACCAAGCGTACCCTTTGGCGCCTTGATGCCGATCTTTTTGAACCGCTCCGCCTCCTTCATCGGCCAGACAATGGCCTCGACCAGCTCTTCGATCTGCTTGTCCAGACCACCGACATCTGTGTACTTCTCCGTCGGCTTCTCGTCGACCTCCATAGCCTTGACTCTGCTATCATACTCGGCTGGCAGCGTGTCGAGAATAAGGTACGAGTCCTTGTTGACACCAATCAGGTCACCGGGCTTCAGGGTCGTGGGGTCAACCAGGCCGATCAGCGGCAGGAAGATGGTTTGCCGCGTGGACGTCTTGATAACTGCAGACTTGCCCACACGGGTGGCGTCCAGGTCGATGTTGGCACCTTCTTCCGAGGATTCGGCAGTAGGGTCGAGATCGAGGAGTTCGACTACGTTGCCGACCAGGTAAGGTAATTGCCTATGGGTATGTAGTCAGTTATCCGTTTCGTCATCACCAACCGAACGGAGGAGTGCGTACCGGTTGTTGGCGATCTTGTCGAGATTCTCCTTGATCTTCTCCCCCATGGTGGCCTTCTCGTGCGTCAACCTTTGCAGCTCGCTGCGCATGATCCTAGAGTCGTTCTCGAGCAGCCGTTTGCGGGTCTGGATGTCCTGGGTGCTGAGGTTCAGGATCTCTTCATCGAGGATGTCCTCTTCCTCCTCTGCATCCTTCATGTCGGCATCACCGTCGGCGGCGGGCTTCTTGTTGTCCTTGTCCTTGTCACCATCATCTCTCTTGTCGTTCTTGTCATGACGATCGAGGTCGTCGAGCTCTTCGAGGGTCGACATGATGGCGGGGTGCGAAGGTGGAGAGTATTAAATGATGAGTGGTCGTCAAGGGTACAATTCTCCGTTTCTATCGTCAACGCGTGAGGCGAGATGGTGATGGATCGGGGTGCGATGCCGTTTCTTCGTCGTGGGTGATGATGGAGCAGAAAGGGACAGCTTCGGAGCTGCGTAGGTAGTTGAGGTACGGGCCAGTGAGGCTCGAGCTAGACCTCAAGGCAAGCAACAGTCGCGTAATCAGCCTGGGTGTTGCCCTGTGCGCCCGGTGGCCACCTCTCACCGGAAAGCGCTAGGAGGAAAGTCCGACCGGATCCGGCTACAGTGTCATTATCATGTCGCGCAGCACCTAGCACTGTACGATGAGACCGAGAATACCCAAGGATGACATTAAGTACACGACATTGAGAGCATGTTCCCTGCGCTTCCCAGACAGTAATCTTTACAGTACTTGTTCGCGTGAGATTCATGATTCTTAATCCTTCATTTCCAAGGGGCAAGTGACAAATCTATTAGGACACAAAGCCAAGAACCAGGACAGCAAGAGGTGCCTCTGCCCCGCCTCTCTGACCGATTAAAAGGGTATATGATATGCGCAACAACAGTCATTAAGCCGCACCCTTCGTCATCTTACATCATGTCTTCTGAGTTTCCTGCCTTGTGTCATTCGTCGTCAAGGATGCGGCTAGCTACCGAGCCAAGGATGGGAACCTCGAATCTGTCGTTACATCAGTTCTTGCTCCTAACAAATGTATGAATGCCTTGCCTCAACATACCTATCGAGTGTGTCTGCGTCCTGGTACCCCCTTAACGCCAACCAGACCATAGCGAGCAAGTCGCCGATGAAGAAGAGCCAGCTGAGGAACTTGGACCATGAAAGGAACAACAGGTGAAATATCATGACCGCCGTAAAGAGCAGTGCGGATTGCCATGCGTGAAACCTGCCACATGTCAGCGGTCTGCCAGTTTCTTGATACAATACGAGGACATTGTGGGAGACATGGCCGTTGACAGCGAAGGCCCGATGCCGGGGGCGGCGGAGACTCTGCAGTGCCCCACGGGCACCATTTCCAAGCATACCTCACATAATCACTGTTCCGCTCCCCAATCAGCAACAGTATCGCTCCCAGCGGCGGAAGGGCCAGGTACGCCAGCGCAGCCTCGTAGTCTAGCCTGATGCCTAGGCTCGTGTCGAATTCGCTCACGCCCTCCCGATGCGCGTCCGCCGCGGGGTAGGACCCAGGTAGGCTCGGCTGCCATCCGCGCTGAGGTTGGGGATGCTGCAGCGGCGGCGGTGACGGCTGGCCGTACGGCGAGAAGGGTCTTCGGAAGTCGGCAGAGGCGCGCGGCGATGCGAGGGGAGGGGAGAGAGCTCGTTCGCGTTCTGGGGGGGAGGATTGGTAGGGAGCGAAGTCCATGGTCGTCGCTGAAGTGTTTGGTTCTGTTCTGAGCTCGACACTCGCTGTTGCTAGGGAGCCCGGGGGTCGGAGGAAGGGGAATCGAATGTCGGAACCGTGAAGGGCCGGAAACCGTGTACGAGTCGCGGATGGTTTGGTTATTGCCGGCTTCTTTTGAGGGAGATGATGTTGCTGTGGCAGTGGCTTTAGGAACCGAGGATGTGGGAGGTGCGTCAGCAGGAGCAGTTGGAGAGCTAGGAAACGCGCAATGCAATGGCGTCAAGCACTACGCGGAAGTACCAGGAGCTGGGACACCACCACACTGGAGTGAAAGGGGTGGCACGCGCGGTCCCAGGGCTTAATTGGGGGGTGGTCTCTTCTCTGGGCGGTCCGACGGCTCGTTCATGCAGGTCGCCTGCAGTGGTTGCGGTTAGTGTGTTCCGCCCCGCATTTTGCCGGTCCAGATCGGGACACCTCGATAATCGGCGCTGTTGGCCAATGCCGGTGGAGTTTGTCTTCCTGGCCGTCTTTAACAGCTTAGCGGTCTAGGGGCTTCTTAGTATGGAACACCAAAGGCTAATGTCTTTCGGTCTTGTTGCCGTATAAATATCAGTTTCACCTACGTGCACCCAGTCACTTGTAAGATTGCAAATGATTGCCTACGCGCCATAGATTCAGGTCGATGAGGTCAATAGCTGTGGACACAACCCCTGATCGTCCCCAATCGCTATCAAATAAGGCTTGCATCCATGTTCTCAAGGTAGCAAGGCAACAGGTATGGACATGCTGTGTAGAGGCCGGGAACACAAAACACATCCAACGTGTGACTACTAAGGCATCGCTTCCAACACCGGAGAGAGGTCCACTCCATTATCATGGACAAACAAATGGTTTAGCTCTATAGTAGAGATCCGTATCCCGTGATAATACAGACTTTTTACAGGCACTATCATACAACCCCCCTCCCGACGATTTACTCGCTCTTGGCCTCTCCCTCGGCCTTCATCTCGCCCTCCTTACCCTCGTCCTCCAACTGCGTCCTCCGTCCCTCCAGCGTCAGCCACAGGCTCTTGCTTCCGCCCTCGAGAGCCGTGGTGAGACCCAGGCCGGCGCTCTGGAGCAGGTACACGAGCTGCGCCCGCAGACCGTCGAGGCCGCCCTCGATTCCGCCAACCCACTTGACGCCGTCGACGTCGAACACGTTGCCCTCGACCCGCCCGCCGATGAGCAGCAGCTTCTGCAGCGCGCTCTGGCACGGCGGCTCATAGTAGCCGGGGCTCTTCTTGCGCGTCGGCGCGGGGAACTGGGGCTGGCTGGGGGCGAGGATCCGTAGAGCCGCCGCGAGGTGGGCAGGCGAGACGGCGGGGAAAACGAGCGCGGCAGTCGGACCGCACAGTAGCGGCGAGATCTGCGCGTAGGCCGAGTCGGCGGGGGGCTCGAAGTCCTTCATGGCCTCGTACGCGGCCGCACTTAGGTCGTGCACGACGGGGCCCTTGGTGCTCGTCTGCACGCCGGGCTTGGCCTTGGCGGCCTCGGGGTCATAGAACTCGACCAGCTTCAGGGCGACGCTGAACATGCGGGTGCGCAGGACCTGGAGGTGGACGTCTTGCCCGTCGACGGGCGCGCCCTCGGGGGTGGCAGCGGCTAGGGCCGCGTTAAGCTCTCGGCGTAGGGCAGACCACTCATCGGCCGTGATGTTGCTGTGCTGGAAGAAGAGGATCAGGGGCGTTGTGCGGAGGAGCGAGGTGTAGGTTCGGATGAGCTGCGACTTGCGCGTTTCGGGAGGGCGCGCCGAGGGCGGCTTCGTCGGCGGGACGAAGTCGGCGGGCAGACGGAGGGACGGGTGGCTCGAGGCAGCCGGGGCAGCCAGGCGCGCAGTCGAGGTGGTGAGGTATCGTGCCATGGGGTGGGAAGAGGTCGACGACGACGACGCCAGCCTGCGCAGGGCGCGCGCTGCCTGTTGTGGTAACCGAGGCGGCATGCTGTGATGGCCTGTCAGTCGTTTTTCGAGTGTCACCAGAGAAGGTGTTTTGAGAGGTATCGTACGTGTGTGGTGAGCAGGGGATGTCCGTCTGCCAGAGTCCTGCTGCGTAATGGGAGGGAAGGGATGCGCACCTGGAGATGGAAAAAGTTGATGGAGCTTCCCGAGCTTCAATCGGGACAAATTTCATGTGGTCCGTGCACACTTGACAATACTCATCGGCCAATCACACGCACCCATTTGATCGTCTTCTCTCTCGGCGCAAAAGCCCATACGCTATTCTTCTGTCAAACTGAACGAAAGAGTATATCTTACAAATTCCTAACCCAAGCCATCCGCAGACTCGCCAAGCATCCTCTCGAAGCAACGCTACGGACACTGTTCAATGAATATGGTGGGCCATCCAATACCCTTGCAGGAAAGCCAACCGCCTGTCACGGTGCCAAGAGCATTTCTATGAAACGACGCAGGTAGTTGACCACGAGCCCAGCCCGGCCCAGCCTAGCATTACCTCTTCCTCTGTCGTAGGACTTTAGCAGCTTGAGCCTGGATTCTCATCATACCGTCGCTGTCGTAGGGCATATTGACGTATGCTCCAATCGCTATGAAGCTCTTCTTCTCCTCTGCCGTCATGTGGTTCATGCCGTCGAACGCGGCCCCTGGGTTCATCATGGTTTGGAAGATCTCGGGTGTCATGGGGCCCGGCGCCATTGGGTCTATCTTCATAATGTCGCCAAAGATTTCCTCGCACTTGTCGTAGAACATCTCGATGTCTGCCTCGGGTATGCCGCTGTACAATAGCCACGCCGTCTCCAGCTCACGGTACTCGTCCGCCGAGTGCGTTGTGCAGATGCAATAGTGCTTCGCCACCCGCCGGCCGAGAAGCGCGACCGAGTCGAAGGGCTCCCGCTTGCCGTATTTGACAAGTCGGTCAATCCAGAGAGCCGTCAGGCGGAGCGCTTCGGAGCCGGGGGGGAGTTTCTTGTGCTGCTCGACGAGGTCGTCTCTGATGATGATGTCGTAGGTGGAGCGGCTCATCCAGATGTTCTTGTAGAGATCACACTCCTCCTGGCTGCTGGTCACACCAATACTGAACTCGTGGGAGTACGGGTTCGGGTCTTGGACGAGGTACTGGCGGTAGATATCCTCCTGGCGGATGCGGTCGGTGATGTCCTTAAAGATGATGTCTGAGACGGCCATGATTCCGCGGGCCTTCTCGTTCCACTTGTCCTCCTTGAGGCACGCCACCTGCCATGGGCCCTTGAGATTCGGGCAGAATTTGGCAAAGTACGTCTTGATACAATCCGCCCAGGTGCGCGACACCGTGTCACGGCAAGTGACGAGGCCCTTCTGTTCGGGCGGGTACCAATGAGGCTCCATGTTCTTTATGACTGTCGACGAGACGCAGGTCACGTGTCTCGATTCTATGAAGGCGGTGAAGGGCAGGACAACGTCAGCGAAACCGAACTTGTCGCTAAGCAAGTCAATGACGAAGACGTCGCCGGGTGTGGAGCCTTTGAGACGACAGGTGAGCACCGGGTGAGGCCAGAACATGGGGTCCTTTCCCTTTGCGATCTGGATCTGGAGCCCCTCGCGACAGGTGTCGCTCGCGAGGGCCGAGATACTCGTTGCGTTGCGGACGAAGACCTCTATCTCGACGATCATATCGCAATGCGCTACAAAGTTGGCTGTTAAAAGTTGCATATTCAGGGCAGGGGAGCAGTCGATACTCACGGCCGAGAATCTTCTCAATCATGGGCTGCAGATGGTAGTAGATGTTGTTGCCAGCGTCCCAGGCCAACACCTTGCGAACATCGGCGGTCGGTCTGTGCGACAGGAACGACTGGTCAAGGGGAAAGACCTGTTGCCCGGTCCAGTGACCGGCACCGTACGCTCCTAGAGACACGGCGGTGCGTGGAACGCCGCTGCGGTCGAATTTGTCCTTTTTCTCCGCGCCGCGGAGCTCGACGCCGACACAGTCGACGGCGAAGCCCGAGTACGTTGCGGCCATGAACTTGGCCGCGACACCCTTGAAGAGGAAGGCGGCGCGGAGGAAGTGCTTGCGTCGCTGGCAGTCGGGGAAGTGCTTGGCCCAATCCTCTTTCTGGCACTCCTTGGAGCAGTACATGCGGCGGAGGCCCGGGTACCAGCTCACGTAGCAGCCCGAGCAGTAGAACATGCAGTTCTTCGGCGGGGCGCCGGGGCCGCCGCGTTCCACGTCGCACCTAGCACACTTATTGCTACGTAGGGCCTCTTTCATCTCACTGGCGCGCGCCAGGATCCTCCGAGTCTCGAGGTCAGCGTCCGCATCCCGTCTGCCGCGGTGGATCCAGCGGGCATACTTGAGCCAGTCATTTCGGTTGACGTACGCCTCACCTGGGCAGGGCTCGCCCTCGTTGCTGACACTGCACTTGTGGCCAGGGACGACGTCGATGCAATCCTTATCGATTGGCACGATGTGGGCGGCGGCGAGCTGGCCAAGGAGCTGAGTGAAGGCGCAGCGGATGGACAGGTCGGAGCGCTCCCACACGGAGAAGGCGAAGCGGGCGGCCCACCAGTAATTGTGGGCGTTGGGGTCATTCGTGTTGTCGAGTATGCCCTCGAGAGAGGAATTGGCGTAGGGCCAGAGGGCGAGGACGAGGCGGCGGTCGTGTTGGGCTGCAGCACCGGGGTTCTTAAAACCGCCGTCGTCATCGGCAACGCTGGGGAGGGCCGCGAAGAGCCGGTCGACGGGGTCGCCGGGCATGCAATCGTAACGCCGGGCGCGGTCGAAGTGCGGGGGAAGTTCATCTTGCCAGAGTATGTAGTCGAGCTCGCGTAGGCTCCTCTTAGTATTTTCGGTGAGCTTTTTGGGGTCTCGGTTTTGCTGAGAGGGGAGTCAGTAGAGAGAAGCGGGACTGGATGGAATCGAGGGGTGGGGTGAAATCAAAGAGTAGGAATCAGGATGACGGTACCGTGGATCCAGAGACGTCGATTAGGCGGAGGAGGTGCTCTCTGCCGGTCGACGGGAAGAAGGATCGTTTCGGTGAGCCGTAGAGGCCCTGGTGAGCCATGTCGGCTTCTCTTAAGATGCGGTCGATGGGGGATTCACGCTTCAGGGTGAGAGTCCAAGGAAAATTGAATGCAAGAGTAACGAATGAAATAAGATGAGTTAGCGGATAAAGGCAGGCGTTTACCGCGTGGATAGTAAAGGAGAATAAATCGCTTCTGGTGTGATGTGTCTTCGTCTGGCTGACAGCGAGGTCGAGGATGTTGACGAGACCGTCGTCGGCCTGCGCGGTGAAGGTGGGGGCGAAGGAGGAAAGAGCCTCGGGGACGCCCTCTCCCTGGGCCAAGATGGCAGCTGTTGCCTCATTTGCATCCGACGCAGCATCCATCTTGGGCTAGTGGTATTCTGCGGTGTTTCCGAGGCCAGGTATGGGCGAGTATGGCAAGCTTTTGAGTAGGTTTTTTTTTTTTCTACAACAGAAGATGGATTGTATTCAACTCTTGGATTTATATAAATTGCCAGTCAAAGAAGTTAGTCTACTGAGCCCGTGATCCTGGGTAAGTGAGCCGGGTATTGACCAGACAGTACATAATACTTGGGACAAGAGAAAAGTGAGGGTCTTAGTGACTGTGAGCCTGGAGGCGGGATGCAGAAATTACTGGAACTGAATAGGCAGGCCTTATGTTCCTTTTTTCGTTCCTGCTTTATCCTTTCAAGTGTTTATCTGCGCTTTTGATTCCATTGAAATCGGATCTCACATATCCAGATACTTTTGGTAAAACTCAGACGATGATGTATTGACGCTTCGAGAACATAGACAACTGTGAAAGAAAGGACAAACCATCCACAAAGGTGCGAGTGACAGAGAATGACATTTCAATAAGAGGTCACAGCAAGTGCGTAAATACAGTTGCTCCAAGGGTCGCTGGCGATGAGACTAAGTTGGAGGGGGGGGGCAATATTGGTCAACTAAAACGATGTTGCGATCTTTTGCTCTAATTTCTAGCAACTGCTTGAATCCTGACCATTGTCGTTGCCCAAAGCTCTGGCCACCAAGAACCTCAACCGACTAGTCTATACGAAGCACATCCATCAAGTATTTATCTGTGTCTAGGTCATCCTAATCCAGGAACTCGTCCTCTCGAAGCTCGAAGTGCGGGTCCAATGCCCTCGATGTCGAATTGCGGGCATTAAGGCCCTCCACAACCGTCCGACAAAAGACAGGAATACTCCAATGGAATCGACAGAGTGCTCTCCAAACCATTCCGAGGCTTTCCCTGCAGTCGTACAAGAACGAACCCTCCACAAGAGCCATTCATACCTCTAATTCATCACCGTCTTTCCACCATCCTGTGTCAGCCGGGAGCGGACCTTGACCAGGAGAGGCCGGTGCGCCAGTCGCTGAATAGCGGCCACCGCGTCATTCTTCTGCTCCCCCAGTCCAATGATGGCACTGGGCGCGAACACCAGGGCCTGTCCTGTCTGCAGAGACACAATCTTGGCAAACAGCTCGCCGGCCGCATTCTTATCCCCAACTACAACAGGGCTAACCTCCCCACCCGAATCCTGCTGCTCCGGCATGGCGCCTAAGACGGACGAGGCACCCGCGAGATGGCCGCGCAACGTGTGCAGCCAGTCTGGCGAGGTGAACCGGTGAACTACCGTCATGGAGCACAGGTCCAGGAGCTTTGTCGACACAGTGGGCTCCTGCGTCGAGATGAAGACGCGGACGCCGAGGTGGCGCTGCAGGCGTATTGTGCTCAGCAACGAGTTGGTCAGGGCCTTGCTCTCGCTCGACTCTTGCATATACTTGTGCGCCTCGTCGAGCGCGACGACCCTGCCTATCCGCGACTTCTTCTCCAAGAAGAGCGAGAGGCAGATGTTGAAGAGCAAGCACGCCATCTCCGCAGTGATGCAGGGGCAGGAAAGGTCGACGATGGTGAGCTGGCCGGCCTTGCGAGTCGCGTCAGTAGAGCCTCAAATTGTGAATAAAACCGAAAGGGGGGGGGGGAAGCTCACCTTGGGTTCCCAATCGATAGGTTTCTCCTTATTTTTGCCATCGATCATGAAGCTTTCCAGCGTCTCTAGGCGCTGGTTCAAGGGGGCCTGCTGCATCGGGGTGAGATCCGTCTGGGCCAACTTCTGTTTGAAAGAGCGGTAGCTGAACGGCAGACCTTTATTCTGTTGCTCTAGGCGCATGTCTCGGAGGATGCGGGTCACGACGTGAAGGTAGAGCGGCATGTTGCCGTCTCCGACAGCCATGAGGTGAAGCATTCTTTGGGTGTTGAGGTCCTGGTCGCTCAGCCTGAGAGGCTCGACCTTGACGCGTGAAATATCTCTGTAGATTTCCTGTAAGGATAACACGGCGTCAGAAGAACACAAATTTCCGTATGTGAGTGACAAGGGCCAAGGCTGTGTAGGGTAATTACCCGGACTGTGCAAACGTTGGTGGGAGCGCATAGGACTCGGACGGAAGCTTTGCTGTTGGAGGCCAGGAACGCCGCCTCGCACGGGAGACCGCCAGAGTCGGAGACGAAGCTGTCAAAGTGAAAGACGATGCCAGCGAGGGGCTGCGGCAGCTTTCCGAGGCTGCTGGGTATGAGGCAGTTCTCTAGGAGACACGCGAGGGTGTTGCTCTTGCCCGAGCCCTGGCTGCCGCAGATAAAGACGCTCGAGGGGCAGGTGACGTTGTGGAACAGCCGCGAGGACTGCGTGAGCAAGCCGTTCTCGGACATGCTGCCGCCAAACAAGCCGAACTGCGAGGGGGGGGAGGCGTTGAGCAGAGAGATGGTGAGGAGCGGGCTAGACTTGACCTCGTCTTGCTTCTGGGCGGCGGCATCGAAGCTGAGATACTTCATGTGGATGGCAGCCTCGGCCGCGCCATCTTTTATCGCAACACCGGCCCCGTTCTCGGCCTTGGACACCAAGGGCGCTTGAATGTTCGAAAATGAGGAGGAAGGCAAGGCTTTGGTGGGTTCCTGGGTGAATACCGAGACACTGGATGCAGAACTGCTGTTACAAGAAGGATCGGGAGACGAGGCCGCTGACGATGCCGAGTCTACCCAGTGACCGAGAACATCTTTGTGCTGGGCGACGGCTTCCTTGTTTTTCAAACACCGACCACAGACTTCACACTCAAACAGAGGGTGAAAATGGCCTTTGTCGACCAAATGTTTGTTACGATGGGCGGGAAAACCCCATGTCTGTGAACAGGAGCCACATTTAAACGCCATCCTATTTAGATATCAGCATCGGAAAGAGACAATATCGCCACAAAACTCTGGGTGTACGGACGTACGTGTTGGACAGTGACTTTGCGCAACAACCGTCAGTGGTTTCCCCTTTTTCTCTCTCTCTTTTGTGATCTTTTTTTGCTTCGGGTTTGGGGTTGAAAATGAGTACAGAGGTAGGTAATACTTGTTTGTGTATTGGTCTGGAGCGGGGATAAAGGAACCCAAACTTATCATCTGCGGTTTGTTAGAATGGATATGCCCGGGGACCGGACTATATAGTATTTGATCTGTGAGTGTGCAGGACAACCCGGGGGGGGGACGGACAAGCTGCCCCGGCCGGTGCCTGCAATAACTTAACAGGGGCCTTTGCTGCAGGAGGCCAACCTATGTATTTTATTTCATACTGAGGTATGTTTGTTCCTACACATTCTTCCATCCCTGGACACAGAAAATTGCTTGGTGGTCATGTTAACGACCAATAGGCGGTTAATTGGAACGATACGAGCCTGTCTTGGCCGCAGGTTGGAGCCATTATGTCCTTTCCCACCATGTTAAGTAGCCATGCCTGTACCCTCCAGGCGTCCGCAGCAACATTGCCAGGAAAACAGAAATAGAATTGGATCGGCATAAGAGGTCCCACAATTCATCTGATTCCTACTGCTGTCCGTGAAGGCTCAGCAAAGTAATCCTTTAGATGGCATCTCGGGGTAAAACAAAGGGGGCAGCTACCCTCTGGTGCATGGGCAGGCTAATTGTGCCGGCACTGTTCAAAAAAAAAAAAAAAAAAGGGGAAAAAAAAAAAGATGGCAGTGTCATGCGGCCCTATCTAAGGAGGTCAGTTACCCTAGCCGCCCTTTGCCCTCTATTGCAACAGTCAGAATAAGCCAGTGTACGTACGTAGACAGACCCGGGTGGGGCTCTGTGTTGGGGGGGGTGGGACGGCCTCCAGCATGTGTCGCGGACACCAACTGAAATATCAGAACCAACCATTTTTGTTTGATGTATCACTATCCAGAAGATTCTGCCCTCATGCGGGGGCCGACCATCAGAGAGGGCGGATTTTCATTATACCAAGGGGAAGAAGTGTATTATCCACCGTTACGAGCTCCTTCGCGCAGGGCCGATTCTGGAGCCTTTGCGCCGGCCAGCCTGTGTTGTATGCGGCCTGCATTGCATGTTCCCATGATCCTATCAGCGAGGGCAGAGGAAGTAACGGCTGGTCATTTAAAGCAGTGGCCAGGAAAGTAGGATACTGAGGCTGAAACCATGCGAACGGAGGATGTTCCGGCGGGGCCCGTCAGTGGAGGCAGGCACGGGGTTCTTGAGCTTCACACTAGGTATCCCCGTATCCTCGGCATCTCTCCCGTATCACAACCCCGCAATCGCTGCCGACCCCACTGTTCCGGCCCCACCAGAATCCTGGATGGCGCATGCGGTTGGCCTCCGATAGAGCAACAGCGTGGAGGAAGCCCCACCAGGTAGTAGCGCGCCACCATCATTATTTCCAGGCAGAAATGAGTCTTGAAGCCATGGCTGAATGTTTGCCTTTATCGACAAGGTAGGTGACGTATCCTTGCCTTTTGGGTTATTTGTATACGAAGACGGCGCTACACTTGATTCCTGCCCCCCATTCCGTCCGCCATATGGCTTCCCATGTCCTGCAACGCGACACGCATCCAGGTGGGTAGCACCCGAAACCACACTTTCGCCAAGGCAAAGGCCGGCATATAGGCGTTTTGACTATGATAAAAAGAGACCAAGTCAGTTGCCCGGAGCTAACCTGTCTACAGAATTCGCCGCAAGAACCAATTGAAACGTACCTTTGGCCTGTGGCGAGAATGTCAAACGCTTTCTGAGCCACCTCGTCCGGGTCGAGGATGGGCGCCAAGAAAGTGTCGGGGGCGTCCAGATTCTGGAACATCGCCGTCCCGATGGTCGCGGGGTAGATCGCGCTGACGGCCACGGCCGGGTTTCCGTGCCTGTGCTTCAGCTCGGTGTGGAGGCCTTCCACCAGCGAGCCGACGGCGGCCTTCGAGGCCGAGTAGTCCGACATGCCGGCAATCGTCAGGAAGGCCGTCGAGGACGCGGTGACGAGCACGTGGCCGCGGTTGCTCGCGATCATGGCCGGGAGGAACGCGCGGACGGTCCACAGGAGGCCGAGCACGTTGACGTTGAAGGTCGACCGGAGATCGTCGTCGGTGGCGGCCAGGAGTGCATTCCCGCGGACGATACCGGCGTTGGCAACGAGGATGGACGCATGGCCGTGTCGGTCCCGGACGGCCTTGGCTGCTGCACGGACATCGTCGCTTGAGCTGATGTCGCACTGGATGTGCGACGTCCTGGGGCCGGTGTTATAGCTGAGGGGTGCCGTGTCGAGCACAACGACCGTGGCGCCGGCGGCCTCCAATTTGCGGACGAGTTTGGCGCCAATGCCTGTGGATCCTTTCGTCCGCGCCTGTAATTCAGTAACAAGATCTCCGAAAGCATCGAGGGGTGATGGGGCTTCTCTGTTGGCCTACCTCCGGTGACGACGATGACCTCTCGCGAGAAGTCTGGCTCCGCCTTGGGCGCCGGGTTCAGTGCCCTGTGGTTCAGGAAACGGTTCAGCGACAGGACCCAGGCAAACGCGACGCACCACAGCGCCCATCGCATATTGCCGGACGACGGCCCGACCCATCTCGTGGACCTAAGATCGGCCCCCAGCTCGATTGGGCTGGGTTCAATTCCCGACAGGACTAGTCCGCAAGGCACCAAAAACGAGACTACAGGGTGGAGGATGGTGACACTGAGTAGTCGAAGCAAGACATCCACGGTGAATCTCTTCATTTTTTTTTGGTCGGTTGAAGCACTTGGATTTCGACCCAGACGGCAAAATGGGGCGGACGTCATGATAAATCTTATTTCGCCTCTGCTTGCTGAGCTAAGCCGAGGACAAAGGCGGATGCAGACGGGCTCGCTGACATCCATAATATGCATCGCAGAAATCACGCCGCATTATGACGCGAGGTGCCACGGTCCTCCTGCCAGAGTTCGGAGGAGGCCCCGGATTAGCGACCGCGCATCCGATGTATCTGGAGAGGCTCGATCGCAGGGAAACATAGGGGAGCTCATACCAACCCTTGAGCATCCGAGCTGACAACGAAAACAAACACCTGGTATTTTTTTCTATCTCTATCTACGCCGGCAGATGAAATACCGGCAGCAGAGCCCCTCGATATCGAAAAGACTAGCAAGGGTTCGCTCACGAGTCAGCTTCGAGTTCAAGGGCCTCGACCCATTCCTTTTCATCATCAGCAATGCAAGCAGGACAGAAAAAAGGGGTCTCCTGTTGAACGTCAGGAGTGCTAGCCTGTGGGAGAGTACCTCCCGCGGCGGTAACCTCCTGCTCACGACGTTCCGCGTCCAGCGCCAACTCTTCAGTTCGGCGGGAGCGGGCTTCGTAGCTGGCTATGAGTTTTTGAACGCGGCAGTGACCTACTGATCCGGCACGTTGGGCGGTGAACTTACCATCTTTGGACTGAGCGTACACGTCAGGAGACCCAACGGTGTTGCTGCGAACTGGTTGGGATTGGTCGCCTGTAGTCTTCGTCTCACTAGGAGTTGATTTCTCGGGAGAAGGGTTGTCTGTAGTCTTCGGCTCGCCAGGAATCGGCTCCTCGGGCGAAGAGTCGGAAAAGTCGGCCGGGGCATCGGAGGGGCGGTTGTCTTCAAGCTGCTGGAAGACGCGCTCGGCATAGGCGGCAGCGGTAGAGCATTTCTCAGAGTGTCGAGACATGCTTGAGACGTTGCAGGAGTTCTTGGGAAAAGGAAAAAGGGAAAATGGCTTAATGAGGATCCTTACACTGGAAATGAAGTGATGGTGAAGCTAGCCATAACGGTGTTGTTGGAGGTGGTCCAATCATATATACACTTAAAACTACTTTGAGAAATCACGATATCAACAACAGATGTGACAGGTCTGTCATGTGCTTTTGTGTTAGATCAAGCATGTAAGAAGAATGTTGCTCTGCTACGGCACTTCATTCTCTGAACAAAGCATTGCTTCAAGGGACTTTGTCAGTTAACCGTGCATTCCATGTTCGGATATATAGACGTCAGACAATGAATCTTGCATCGACCATTGTTCGTTCTATCCATGACTTGCTTCTTATGAACAATGCTCAGATGGCTGTACCATCCCCTCTACCATTCCAGAAGCGACTATCAGCTTCGTTAAACGGCCCAGTAAAAGCCAAAAGTGCCATTTTTACACAAGGCTTTTACATGATTCGGAAGCCGTCCTTTATATACGATGACTCCTAGATATGTTTTGACCCACTCCATTCTAGCTTCTGGAAAAATGTGCCCGAGAACTAAGGACCTAAGAAAGCGGGAATAGAACAGAAGGCGAATAGTCTGGAGTATGCTGGAGGACCTATGGCATTCTTAATAAGGGTCTTCGTCTCTTGATCTGTACCTTTCGGTTGCGTGCAGAACTTTCTTGTAGACACAATAAGCGACTTTTGGCATATTCAAGCCAATTTAAGCCTAGCTAATAGAGTCATTGTATGAAATCAGAGACACAGACCAGCCCTTTTTACTCTCCCAAGTTATACTTTGACTGTGTGCGGGACACAAGGAGACCTCTACCCGAATCCACAGCAAAAGTAGCACAAATTGAGCAGCAACACAAGCCTGTCGGTAACCAGAACCTGCCAGCAAGTATAAAAGTGCTGTCATTGTAAGACAGAGCAACCAGCCACTTCCCTATCCAAAAGTAAAGACCTGATGATCAACACCGTCCACTGCAGCCACCGCTAAGCTATAACGGCGTTGGCGGACAGGTCAGGCTGACTCAAATAGACCATGCAAAAAAGAGTATTAGCTGCTTCGGCAGGACGTTATAGTTACGGAGTGTGCCTAGCATAGTCAAAATTAGTTGATCCTTTTGCGAAAGAGCCTACGCTAGAGCTGGAACTAGCGTTGCCGGTCTTTACCCATTCGAAACCAAGCTATGCCATGCACGATGAAACTGCTCACAATATTAGACGCTGGTTCTGTTCTGACATGATTGAAAGTACGCCAAAGAACAGGACTCTAATGGGTAAGGAAGCAAGAATAGAGAAAACCTATTAAGACGACCCCTGTACATAGTAAAGGAACTGCTGCCTGGTCGAACTTCTCGACATGTAATATGTCTTTCCCTCACTGTAGCCGACATGCCGTAAAGGCAACTGTGAATTACACTGCTGACAGCCAAGCCCCAACCCCCTGTTAGCGGAGACTTCACAAGCGAGATAGCGGTTGCTAAAACCTGTGAATGGTCAGCCTTGCCAGGAAAACGCAGCATACGACACTGATATGCTGTTTTGGGCTGCGTGGCGTGCATTAGCGATCTCACTACACGCTTTCATCCGCTATAAGTTTGTCCCTTTTTGACTTAGCCTTTCAGCATGGCGCTCAGCTGCACCGAGTCGGGCCACACAGCGAGCCAGTCTTGACGCTCGGGATAAGAAAAGAAGCTGCGGCTGTAGACCAGCCTTCGATGCCAAGAACTGGTGCCTGTGGATGTTCATGTAGGGGACCTCGCCCTTAAGAATGCACTCATATCCGGCCGAGATCCCGGCCCTGGCTGCCTTGGTTCTTCGCTCCCCAAATCCTTCCCATACCGATCTGCGACATTTTCCATAATTTCTGCTTGAAGTAAAAGCCACGATTTAGGTTTCCACCAGTTGGTTGTCCATTTCGCCATGGGTTCCAACTACTTGGAGGAGATGGACCGCTGGGTTCCAGGGGAGGATGCCTCGGGCTCTAAAAACCTGACCTGGGATCAGCTTGACTTCAACCGGAACTGCTCTCACTGGGGGCACTGGCTGTCATCCATGCTTCAAGCAGATTCCTGGAACCCCAAGGAAACCATCGGTATGAGCCTTCCATCAGCAATGTTATACTATGCGGGCGCCATGCCTGATGGCTATCACACAACGTATGATGAGGTTGCCAAGTGGTTCGCCTACAACATGTATCATACTCCTTTTCCTGAAAACTCCACCGATCCCGAATACTATTTCTTCAGCGAACGGTTCAACAACACTGTCTTGTTCGGCCCAAAGCCACACTGCCCGGCAGAGTACTGCAAGGCTGTTGGGTACACCGGAAACCAGGACCTATGTGGTATTGGAGTAGGTGTCTAGGAACGAGGACGATCAAGCACCGTACACTGACTTGTACTAGGTGGTCGTCTCATACTACCTGGAAGGTGTCTTGGCGACAATGTATCTCCTGGCCTTCACTGTCCACCAAATGCGACAACATATACATAGTCATGTCTACAAGAAACCCCGGCCAGTACACAAACAAGGATTTAGAACCAGAATATTCGATGCGTTCCGCGGATCCTTGGATATATTTCTGGGCGGCGCCATGCTGATCTCGGTGGCCATGCTGGGTGCGTCTGTCTACGCCGGAGCAACCAATGTCAAAGAGAGAACGGGAGCGAACCCTGACCTCCCATCGCCGGACTCCATCTACGAAACAGCCCTATCCCTGATCGCTTCAAATTATTCCGTCTTTCCGGTCATGCTGCTATATGCGCTGGCCAAGCACGATGGCCATCGGAAGTGGCTGCACCGGTCGGTCCTCTTTCTTCTCTGGGGGCTCAGCGTCACCGTCGTCTACCTTGCCCCGAGAGGCGAGCTCGATTACGACCTACGGAAAAGCGGCCAGAGGAATTTCGATTGCGACCAGCGCGGCTCGCACTATTGGCCAGTTGTGAAGGCTACGCAGTTCCTGGTTATCGCCCTGCCACTTCTGTGGCTTATCATCACGATCTTCCTCACTACTGGTTTCAAAATTCCGGGCATGGTCGACAAGCCGTGGGTTAGAAGATGGAGATCCATGTGGCGCCTGATGGTTGCGTGGATCAACATGCTTATCATGTGGGGGATCCTGGCCTACTTCACGTTCTTCCGGCAGAAAATCATCGATGCAGCCGATGGTCTTGACAAGAACGACAAGTGGACCTTTGGCCAGGTCATTGCCTTGGCGGCGTGGGCACCGATTCTCGCCGAGATTTTCTACATCCTGATTTGTAAGTTGAACGTAGCCATTCATAAATCCCAGTTCTCGATTGCAGTTATTAATGAGTCTGTTAGTTGGCTTGGAGGACGGCTTGACGGGCCATATGCCTGCCGGCTATCACGCTACGCACGTCGCCCAGTCAGACCCTAATATTGGGGTTCCTCTCCTCGATCAAGGTTTCGATACGAAGCATGCTTCGACGATTTCATCAGTCACAACATTGGCCTCTCCAGTAACCCCGATGCAAGCCCAGCCGACGATGTGGCAGCAGGGCCCTGGATATCAGCCAATTCACATGCAGCACCAGCAGCACCACCACCACCAACATGTACAACATCACCAAACCTGGGATGGATACTATCACACCGGGTGGTAGGTGAAGAGATGAGAACATGACGATATACAAATTGTGTCATCCTATTCTGATGACTGTGGTAACGTGTGTACTAATACGAAGTTGCAAGCCTGCCCGTTAGTAATTGTAGACAGCTAACTCATCTGTTATTGGACGGTGAATTATGGAGTGGTCTGGATTTCATAATAACATAATATTAGACTGAAGAAACTATGGAAATTTGTCAGTCAGTACCATAGCCAATGATATAAGACAAAAATTGCAAGCGCTTGCCGTAGAGGCCCAGGGTCGCGTCACTTTGTGAGTTGATGCTTAGCGGGTCTACAGTGTCCAATGGCTATGTACATCGCCCATCAAGTTGCAAGAATGCGCCACAGAAATCACCTGTTCCACAACTAACTCTTTGGCAATCCAAAAGCTTGGTTTATGTGTCGCAAAAAAACACATCAGTAGAACGCAGATGAATGGTGGCCGTTATACCTATTACATATAGCAAGTTTTACGCAACGGCGTCTCACGCCATTCTTATGCCTTCCTGAAATTACTTTCAACCTGTGACTTGACATGCTGCCAGGATGTTCAATGCATCAGTAGAGAGTTTGTCAGCACCCGTTCCCCTTTCCGAGACATCAATAAAGCCTCCAGCACTGGCAATCTGGTACTTTTCTAATGTGCATTTTTAGATGCCGGAAGGATAACCCCATGCGTGATTGACTTTAATGCAACCACGCATTGGGAAGAGCCGGAAGCTGTCCCCCTGTGGCTGGACGATCACTAGGCGCCTGAGGGCGCTGATCTGGCGTGGACTCATGTGACAAACGAGAACGAGATGGGACTCCGCAGACGGTTAGGTATCTGGTGCATATGGTGAGGATGACCCGAAACCGAGTCGATCATTGCGGAGCTCGTGGGTCTAGTTGGCAGCTTCGTTTGCAAGATAATCGGGCAGACGAGCTCCAGAAGTCGGACTTGTTCTCGGACGGTTGCTGCACGAATGCAAGCCCTGCTGAATACGAACCACCGAATGTTGCATGTATGGTGTCGTTGCTGCTTACTGCGGTAATAGCATTCCATAGCCACACTCCATCAGCTGCTCTCTTCCCGAAAAACATCGGATACTATTGACCTTTCAAGCCTTCCTCGGCGACTGTGCGGGGAAAAGATCAGGGTGGCGCAGGGTCCTAGGTATAGTATAACCTTGGGCTACACCCACCGCGGCGCCACTGGTAGCCCACTAAAGTAGACAGCAAGGGGCTTATGGTGGGCTTTCCTTGGCTCCAGAGGACCCCCCAATAATGTCTGTTTGGCTTGTTCAGAAGCTTTCAGAAACACATCAGGAGAAGCTACGTGGCAGGGGTCCGAGGGTGCCCAGACATGGACGCGTCTGTCTACACACTAAGAGCCTTGCCGATATCCGGGCAGTGCTTGCGGGGTGGGCCGTGAACCTTGACGCGGTGGCCCCGATTGGACCGAAAACAGCATACGCGCGGACGTTCCGAGTCGAGGCTTTCGTGAGCCTCCTCCTCCCCACCGTGGCGGTGTGAATATTGGTTAGCTATCACAAGCTTCGTAGACCCACAGCTAGAGGCTCAAACAAGTTTATATAACCTTCGCTTCCCCGCATATTCCGGGATGGAATTTCTGGCACATAATTCGAGACTTCACCAACGAGAAACACCCGATTCGAACTCATTACACACATCCTAATCTTCATCAATATGTTCAACCGCGGTAACTGGCAGGGTGGTTTTGGGCGAGGTGGCTACCACCAAGGGAGAGGAGGTTTCCAGCAGGGCGGAAACCCACAAGATGGTCCTCACAATGGTGAGGCCGACTCATACTACTCTTCTCAAGGAGGTCCCGAGCAGCAGGGATACGGCCAACCTCCCCAACACCAGCAGAATTTCTCGCCACCAGGCTACCAGAACCAGTACCAAGACAATTACAACCAGGGCTATCGAAATGATGGCCCGCCTGGCTCTGGCGGCCCGGGAGGCGAGGATGGCGAGCGTGGCCTTGCCGGTGCATTGGCTGGTGGTGCCGCTGGTGCTTTTGGAGGCCACAAGGTCGGCGGCAACATCGGCCACAGCAAGTCGAGCACCTTCATTGGTGCCGTTGCCGGCGCTTTCGCCGGCCACAAACTTCAAGATGGCGCGTCTGATTGGAAGCACAAGCGGGACGAGGAGAAGCATGAGCACAAGGACGACCACCACCAGTCTCATGAGCACCACCACCACAGCAGCCATAATGATGACAAGCCCCGCAGCGGCAACTATGCTGGTGGCTTCACAGGCTCATCCCGAGACATCCGCCTGGACACCCACGGAGACTACAACCTTCACGCTTCCTGCAGACGTCGGGACGGCGAATGGCAGAGCAGCACCATCAGCCTGAACCGAATTCTCGAGAACGACCAGGGTAGCTTCCGCTGGCGTAGCGGAGGCGGCCACAGCAGTGACTCGTCCTATACTGTCCAGCAGGGCGACACCCTCCGCAACATCGCTGCGAGATACAACGTCGGGTTCGAAGAGATCGCCAGGCACAACAACGTTTCCAACCCCGACCAGATCTGGCCCGGCCAGGTTCTCCAGATCCCAGGCCGTGGTGGCAGTGCGTCCGGTAACTTTGGGGCCTCCGCACGGGATGTGCGCCTGGTGCAGGGTGGCCAGATCCTCGAGGCTGAGCTGTCCAGGAACGGGCAATGGGTCCGCAGCTCCATCAACTTGGATGAGAGAATAGGAAACGACAACGGAACTCTGCACCTTGTTTAAAAGGAAACGCAGTAGCATGGAGTTAAAAAAGCGAATCTAGAATGAAAACTTAGCGAAGCTCAAGCTGTGAACGAGGTCATCATTTGACAAATGTATCTTGTGGAACAGTCATCTTTCGCCGTGATGCAATCAACGTGTCATGTAGCAGCTGAGTCAAGGTGAAGCAATAAATGACAACTTCCCCAGGATACCTTTCCCCTCGTAAGATGGCACTGGCACAATTGAAATTTCGTGAGCAACCACTGGTATGCTAGACATGTTAGTTTTTCCCGTAGTTCCGTCCTCGGTGGTGATATTGAACGTTACTGTGGTCTTATTCGTTGTGGCTAGAAGGTCGATAATGTTCCATGTTGGGCTCCTTCAACTGGAAAGGGATTAAAACCAGATGAGAGGCATTTTCCAAAGAGCTCATCTGATGCTGAGTTGAGGACACGGAATGTTTTGCTTCGCGTTGAGATCGCATACTGTTCACTGATACATGACTCTTCGAGGTGGCAAAAAAGAGAGAAATGACGAATTTTGTGTCAAATGATACTGGAAGCACTGGAGAAAGAAACTGACTAGGATTTGTATCTTCCAGGCCGTTGTTTCGCTATGACATGGCCCCGGCTACCTTCCATGTTTTGAAGGTCCTCAACAACAATGAAGCACAGCGATACCTCTATCTCCCATTCTGGGACTTAATCTATGGGAGTCAAGTTGGGCAGAGAGAACCCTCAAAGACAATTCCAATCAGAATAGTTAATCTCAACATTCTCCACGCCATCAACTAACATCGTTCAATCTTTGGCAACACAAACAAAGGAGATACCAAAGCCACAACAACACATCGATCCTCTCAAGCCAAGCTGAATCTCAAGCCGAAAGCTAGGACATAATGACTCGAGGCTGGCACTTTCGGCCAAACCAGTGAGCTTCAACCGGAGAGACATGTCGCATTCGTGAACGACCCCAAGCGAATAACCCTAGTAGGGCTTGGCCAACCTAGAGGTGTCAGGACCTCTACAGTCGTTTATACACAAAAGCTTTTCTTGTTCATATAGGAGGTTATTGGGAACACAAAAGGAGAGACATCCACCATGGCGGCATTGGAGAAATACCTGCACTTTAACAGGGCCGCAGCATTAGTCTGTCTTTCTAGGGACCAAGCCGATGTGTAAGAATATTTACGTCTAATGTCATGAAGCATTATCGTTACTAGCTTGAGGTTTTCTATGATGTATAAAGATCTGCCGAGTCTCATGACTGGCATCATGAGGAACTCAAAATCCTAAACACAAAGCCCCAATCCAGTTGATTAGTGCTTGAATGACAATATCTTAGATCAGTTGATGATACCGTCGTCCAGCATCTTGTTGAAGTTGTTTTCGTTAGGCCACATCTTCTCAGGACCCGGCATCGTCACCTCAGTAATAGCAGGCTTTTTCCAGCTGTCATACTGGATCCACGGGCTGTCCATGGTGTAACCACCAGGCAGCTTCATGACCGAGTCCGGAGCAGGCCCGGTGTAGTCGCTCGTAACGTTGAGATGGGCGCACTAAATCATTTTATGACTTGTTAGTATCCGTTTTGCTTACTGTACTGACGGGTCATTTCCCGCCTTATGGGTCTTGGGGCGTGATTTACCTGCAAAAAGAATTGTTTGGCCTTGTAAGGAGGGTGGGTGGCAATGTGCTCAATGCGCATCAGGTACTGGCCCTGAGGAATTTCGGCGGGAAGCTCGAACGTGAACTTGTTTTTGCCAAATGAGTTCCAGCCCTTGTCGGTGCCATCCCAGCCATCCTTGTAGCCGAGTTGGTACACCTTAAACCAATCGCCTATTTTCAAATGTTATTTTAATGAAAAAGGGAAATTTAAAAGCTGTATTGAACACCTACCAGAACCGTCGTAGTCGCTGACGTCGCCCGGGGCCTTGGACATGTGGATCTATTCAGAGGAAGTAAGTCAGCGACGGAGGACATTGCAGTGTAGAGCCATGATGATTGAAGATGCAACATACCGTAAGGGGTCCTGGGTGCTGAAGCTTCTGATGGATGTTGGTAGTGAAGCCGACAATGTCCTGTCCGGCTATGACGTTGGCTGCCTTGGTGCTCTTGGCGTGGTTTTCGGAGCCCTTGTTGCAGCGAATGTCGTTGCTCTGCAGGAACTTGCCGTCGTCCCACGAAGGTTCGAATCCATTGTCATGCTGACGAACGAAATCCCTGTTACTGATCTCTTTGTCGTTGAGCATGAGCTGCGGGAACAGGTAATGGCCCATCGACAGAGCGGGAAGCGCAAGGCAAACGAAGTTGGTGTTCTTCATGGTGAATTGAATTGGAAAGTCTTGCTTGTTGAGGGAGAACAAGAAATGGTGTCTTTGCAGAAGGTTGTCAAACTGACTTGCAGTGATGGAAGAAACGAAAGAAAGTGAGAGCAAGCTCTGTATGGTGAAAAGAATGTAGTGATGATGCGGTGATGGCGTGGAATGAAAGTAAGGCTATACAGGTCTTTTGTTATCCTTATATACGACGAAAGACAGGAGGACGGAATACGCCGCCAAGGTATTTCGTGAAGTCGCACAGGTGACAAACCCAGTGACTGTAGAGCATGATGAGTTCTGGTGTATTATTAGAAGCTTAACTGCTCCTTGGTATAGCCTAAGCCTAAGTTTCTTACCGCAACAGCGGATACCAATTTGTTTCTTCTCAAGTTGACACAAAATTAAAGAGTATATCGTTCTTCGCATGGCAACTGCGAGCGATTTGTCTCTCAGATAAAAAGAGTCTCCGTCCCCAGGGGCCTAGTCCGACGTGGTCGGGTTTGCCTTAAATGAGAATGTGGGGTCGATGTCACCAGGGGTTCGCGGTTGAGTGGTGTTGCAAAACGTACGCCAAGACTTGATAAGATTACGTGTGTAGCTATTCACAATGCATCGTTTTCCTCAAGCAGCGGTAGTGGGTCCCGCAGCTGCCAAAGTTTTATGTATATAAGCATCCAAGCCTATGTACCGTATCCTCTCAGTAGATTCGTACACCGCACTGACCACGGGCTGCTGGATAGGGGCTAGCAGGCTGGCAGAAACAGGGATCTAGAAGTGGCAAATGCAAGGGTTAGTCAACGTCAGCAGCAAGTTTGGTGGCAAGGGTTAGGGTTAGATGGCTAGGTGGGTGGCTAGGCTGGCTGACCGCCTTTCGAAATTGGCCTAGTAGGTGGTCTGTGCGGTGTACGAATCTGCTGAGAGGATACGGTATTCTATGAGTAACATCATAACGTTGAAACCCAGTGGCCATAGACTTGTCCGCAATACTAGCGTGTAGATAAACTGATAACTACCCTGGGCCCGTCCCTGCCATGTGAGCTGCATATGACTGATTTATACAATTGTTCAAAGTCTCAAAGTCTTTGGAGTATAGGGAATTTCTATAACAATGAAACCCGATATCACTTTAACTGATGAGCACCCCAAGTCTTGTCGCAATGCGGTATATATATTGAGTGGGCAAGAGTGTCAAGTACTATTGCAGTATGGATACACTGAGTTATGCGAGCTGTGTTTTTGAGTTGGGATTCAAGGCCATCCATCAGAGCTTACTCTGACGCGGATGCACAAGCACCCCATAAGGGAATTGGTTGGTGGCACTCTTCATCATTACGTGTGCCATTCGGCTTCGCAACTTTGTCAATTGTAAGCATCAGTACTCAACACTTGGCGACTCTGATAGTGCATCCTTCATTCTATCAGATTGCGATCAGTGATATCTTGGAGGTCTATGCCAAGTTGGTTCGCAGCGGGCAAGTCTAGTTATTCAAGTTTTATCAATTGTTGCTTCAATCACGAAGCATTGCTCAGGTGTTCATATGACGTCCCATGACGTGGCTCGACCATTCTAGCGGCTCACTTCGCTCACCAAGTACCCTCAGGAACACTAGAGATGCAAGCAGATGTTGCGATTTTTCGGCAAACGGAGGGATGTTGGCATCATCCAAGAGCAGACGTCGGCCAAGGTACAAAGCCCCGCTGTAGTTGGCACCAACATGAGCGGCGACAGACTGCCGGCTTCCACAGTTTGGCGGTCCCAATTGGGCACATAACCACGCAATTCGGGTGACCTTCTTCAGACGTCTTCGTGGCTTGGGTGTGGCGACAATTTGGCAAACTGTATAGGGTTGGTGTGGCTCGGCATGGGCCAAAGTGATGCAACTGCTGTTATGGAGTGCATTGAGGCTCAGCATCGGCAAGCCACATCCGTGTTTATCGGGACAGTCTTCCTTTTCGCCGTAAACACATGGTGCATGTGCCAGTTAGCGACTCGGGCGTACTTGGGCACGGTTGAGAGTGACGTTGGTCAAGATGCTGCAGCGGGGGCCATTGCGCGGCCCCTAATGACATGAGCCAAGTTGGTTCCCCGTCTTTGTGCCGGCCCGAGTAGTTGGCGTCTTAGCGCTCTGTAGACGGGACGGGAATGACGCACGAAGACTTTGAAGCATTGTGCTGGGCTGACGAGTCTTGTCACCAGTTGAATCTATAAAGGTGGAATGTTTCTGCCCTGAAAGCAAGCAACTCTTACCAATGCAGAGTCACAGCCGATACAAGCAATCTCGAGTATTAGTATTCAAGAAAACCAGTTGTTGCTTGGACTAATACAATTTCTCGACCACTACCTACCTACACAACACACAACATCACAGTTGATTTCCCGTCATACCAAATCAGTATACCCTCCCAACTTGACTCAATTCGCACATATTACAACCACGCAAAATCACATCAACATCTAAACCACCACCATGTGCTTTGGCGGATCTAGACGCAGGACCTACTGCGGCGGCGGCGGCACGCTGGGCGGGCCCCGCCCAGCAGTTGTTCAAACCCACCACCATCACCACGGCGGTATGGGCGGCGGAATGATGGGCGGCGGCGGAATGATGGGCGGTTGCAGAACCGGCCCCCGGCCCGGTTTCGGCGGCGGCTTCGGCAGACACGGCATGGGCGGTGGAGGTATGATGGGCGGACGCAGACG